GGGGATGGGGGAAAGGAGGGGGGTGGGTATGGGCGTCTGGATGCACGCAAGCGCGGGGGTGAGGGCGCTCGAGCACGTGTGAATGTGCGCGTGCTTACGCGCATGTGGGGTTGCACGCGCACGCACGTGTGCATGTGTATGTACGTGGATTTCAGGAGTGCGGCCCGGCCGCGCCACACGGTGACAGGCAGGGGCTGTCGATCCTGCAGCTGATCAAGTACCTTCACATGGTTTGACCAAACTTTGACCTGCGATCACCCGTGATTACGGCTTGCTGCAGGGGCCGCCGTGGCCGCGGCAGGGCAGCAGGCGGCGGCCACCTATTGCTGCCAGAGTCTGCCGGCCGCCGGAGCGGCGCCCGCGGTCCGCTCGCGCCGCGCGGCGCCGCTTCTCGCGCTTTTCGGGGCGCGGCGGTGGCTACGGCCGCGGCCAGCTGGTGCGTTCCCTTGTGGGGGGGGGGAGCGCTGCCGCTCATGCGTGGTATTTCTCAACCCATATTTCATCCCTTGAAACACAACTGCACACCCACGCCATCTCAGCCCACTCACTACCTCACCCATTAGTAAGTAACCACGGGGCCAGCTTCTCACCAGGTCAGTGGTTCCCGGAAGTTCACCCCCTGCTGCAGGCGCGGCCACGCGCCGCGGGGAACGCTCATGCCCTGCTCGCTGTTGTAGTCAACGATGATGCACGCTGATCTGGGTAGGGGGTGCGGGTTTCGAATCCGAGCGCTTGTTCAAATTTCGAAACCAGGGGCGGCGCGGGAGGGGCGGCTTGGGTGTGCCTGCTGCCTGATGCGGGGCGATACGGCCGGACGGTGGCGGGCGCAGCCGCTGCGGTCGGGTAGGTAGGACGTGGCATGCTGGTACAAGCACGGTCAAGGGGCGGAGGGTGCGGGGTGCGGCGTGCGCGGTGCTGGGGCTGCTGCTGTGGGGGGCTCACTTGGGTACTGCCATCAGGATGGTGCCCCGCTGGGCGTCCCGCGTGGCCACCAGCGCGCGGCCCTGCGCGCCGTCGGACTCGGCCAGCGCGGCGAGCGGGGCGTCGACCCCTACTTGCGCCGCCAGGCGTTGGAATTCGAGGCAGGCCGGCGTGTCGCGCCGCAGCGGCGGCGGCGCCGCCAGCGCCGCGCTGCTGTCCGCCGCCACGGGCGTGGCTGCCGCTCGCGCCAAGCGTGGCCAGTGCCAACGAACATGTGCTGGAAGCTTCAATGGATCGCGTGCATGACAATGAGAGCGCCCTCCGCGGCCAAGGGCCCGAGATCGCCACAAGGGTGCGCTGTGCATGGTCATGCTAGCTTGGAGCGTCGGTTTGGTATCTTGATATTCATTCATACTTATTACAAAATCGGGCCGAGGCGATACCTCATTGGAGCTCCGTGGCGAAGTTGACCCAAGTGCCATTGAGGTGTGACTGCCTGCGACACTGCAGCTCAAGTGCCCAAGGCCAGGTTTGGGTGTGATACGTATGTGACCCCTGTGATTCTTCGCCGTTCGAAATCAGTGCCGGCGCACACTCCCCTTCACCACCAACTGTGCTCGTGGGCAGGACCGCTGACCGTCTCCTCAGGCCAGTCATTTGCAATCGCCGCAGGCTCTGGCACAATTTTATTTGGTGTCGCCTCAAGTTAAGATACGCTGCCTGAGCACCATGACAGGCCAAGCGGGCAGGGCGTCCTGCAGCGGGTGGCGTGCCATCCCCTTCATCCCGCTGCTGCTTGCACTGGTGGCCAGTGTCTCTATTGGCTTGTGGTGAGCACTATGGGCTCGGCAGGTGCTTGGATTGGCCTCGGCGCGTCACTCCCCGGATGCCGTGCGTTCAACTACGGGTGCCTTTCTTGCCCCGGCCCGGCGCCTGGCAGTGAGGCAGAATTTGTTGTCGCAAAGGAAGTTGTATCTGGCCCGTGGTCTGCCCGTGCGCCGCGCCGGGGCTGCAAGGCCTGGCTGGCGCACCGCAGGGAACCTAGTGTGCCCGCGGCTGCCGCGCGGCTCCCGCC